TATCTCTTTTATAGCTGTCTCAGATGAACAGGTGCGACGTTTCATACGCTATTTGCATTATTCACAAATTCGCACACCAAGCTCAAATTGCGTTGAGTTGATGCGTTTTGAGACGCGATTGTGCATGATATGCATATTGTCTACCATGTTTGTAAAGACGATCATTACAAGGATGCAACCTGCGGGGTATGAAGCACATTCCTCTTGACTGTGAATTATAAGCTACACACTGTGTTGCGATGCGGGATCTTTTTCGTCCGAAAGATAATCTTTTCTCCTTTCGTTCAAGTTTCGTAACGTCAAGTTTGAGAAACCGCGAAGAAACAAATGCGCGTTTTCACTGTTTTTAGCATTTATATCCACGAGGTGTTTTTCGTACTAAGTCGACGATGCTCTACAACTTTGTAATTCACTTTTTCTTCTTATCTCGTATCGTTTACGAGATAGGGAGGCTAACTCCGCCCTTTTTCACCAGGTGGCGCTGTAAGGCATCTCATCAAGTAGCGCATACCTACTTTACTATACCTCTAGACACCAATTTTATGACTATAGCTGCAGCCGTTCGGCAGTTAAACGGGTGGTACCGAACTTTAATGGGCAGCGTGTATAGATAGCTAGATAATATACTCATATAAATCGTTTATAGAATTATTTTAGAGATACTTCAATTTGAAATTGAAGGCTTCATTTTGCATTTACTAATAATATGATCGTATTTAAAACTTCGAATAACGTTTTTGAATCCCTAAGTGTAGTAGATATTAAATTTTTTGCAAAGTAACATTCTGGTACAATAAATTCTATCGTGTTATCTTGGTTTTGCATTCTTTCAGCTAACGATTTGCTTAATCAAGCAGTAGGATTTTTAAGTGAATGTGCCATATCCTGTGAAATAAACAGGTACCATGATTTCTATATTTAAATACCATTATTCTTAAATTGATTAAACCTGATAGGGCATTTCAAGCGTAGGTAAAATCGTTTTATATTTATTAAGATGGAATGTATTTAATCTGTTTAAAGCTAAACAATGGTTAATTTCATTTTACTACTACTATCTACTAATCTTTTCATTAAATGCTGATATCTTCCTAATGGAACTTTTAATTTGTTTAAGTTTTACGCGTTGTAAGCAATAAATCATGTGTTAGATCCGAAGCGTAATACTATTATGATTTACAGAAACAGCTTGAGCGAAAATATTTCATAATTATTGGGTACTTCTTCTTTTAGTTACAAAAAATTAATAAAAATATAACAAAAGTATTTAAACAAAATACAAATAGTTTTAGTTTTACAAATCTGAGAACTTTATATCAGATTCATTGCCAAATCACAAAATATTCCAAATAGAACTGGCGATTTTTAAGATATTCATAAACACTGTAATGATGACAAAAAAGCATATTATAAATAAATATGATAACCTGTATTATATTATAAATAAATACAACAAACTGGAACATTTAATAAAGAATTTAACAAGGAAATCCAACTCTCTTACACTATATTTTATTTATTGACGTTTGATATGAGAACAACGACTGTGATCAGAAGACGTATGAAAATTACCTTCTTATGGATTACAAACAAGATGTAAAAGCTTCTTTATGTTGTTTGAAATCAACTATTTAGTAATTTAAATACTACTCCCCAGTCAGCTTTTTATGAAGTTATGATTCAAAAAAGACTCCTGAATCTACGGATAAAACTAGCTACTCTAGTTCTCTATAGAGTAACTTGAACGTTCCTAAGGTATCGAAATGTCTCATTTGAGTTCAAAAATTTGAACTTTAAATCACACTTCTTTGTAACGGCATGCATTAAAACAGTCTGACAGGCAAAGCATGCGAAACACTGTATTTGCATAGTTATTTCATTTTAACTTCATTAGGGCAATGGTATATTTAACATTTATTTCACAATCTTCAGATCATAATAATAACTTCTAAGTCCATAAAATATGAGGTGTCAAATTATTTTAGAAAACAGGGTTATCAATTCTAAGGGGAAACAAATCTCACCATCTGAGAATACCTCACCAAATTCTGATTTAATTTAATTTATGCAGATGACGCTCATTAGGAGGGTTCCCCGTCGTTCCAAAGAAAAAAGACCCTTTAACGAGTGATCGCTATAATGGAAGTAAATTTAAAGTACTCTCATCAGCTGGAGACGTTTTGCACCAATAGCTGTAAAGAAACACTCGCTATAATGAATGATCGTTATAACAAGCATTGACCTAGTCAGCATTCGCAAGAAAAAAATAAATTAATTTCTAATGCAAAATTCTTAAAATTAATCATTATTCCTTGTTGCTGGAAGTGCTATGGTGCTAAAGTTATGTGATCAATACCAGAAAAATTCTTAATAATATTTTTTACAGAGAAGCAACCTGGCATTCAGAAATATGTAGAGTTCCTCACTTTTATTTTGCTAAATTAAATGTCGAGGAACCTAGGGAACTGCTAAGAGAATTATCGCTTAGTTCAAAATAACCGGAAACGTAAACTCAAGAATGGTTAACTACCCTTTATTCGCTCAGAAATAAGATGAACAGTCGGCCTCTTTCTTCGGGCTTACAACAAAACCTCCTCTCGGGCTTGAACTCAAAAATAAGAAATAAGAACTAACTATAACTAACTAAGAGATTTTGGCGAAGCTAGCACAAATCTAACGGAGTTGGTATTTGTTTTAAACTAGCCGGCGAAGCACCTTACTCAGGTTTCCTAGCTCTCTCTCGAAGTAAGTTGAAATTACCTTTAATATTATTTCTTACGCATTTGCATTCAACGCGATTCTAAAACTTATTCTGATAGGGAGTTGTAAATTGAAACGGGCCGAGATAGGAAAGGTTAACTACATTAAAACAACTGTTATAAAATTAAAATATACCTCACAAACGTTTTCCTTAAATATTTCTAAAGTAATTGTCATAGTGGTTACTATTATGCTTCTTATAACTATACAATATATACTTTAAATCTGCGGCATTTCTTTTTCATAGAACTTGCAAGCAAAGCAGTGTTAAGCAAATATGTCAAATATTATTAGATGTCATTTACTTTTACGGAAGCAACCATTTATAACAAAGTGAATCATTTAGTAAAATCAAGTTTTATTCTTAAATAGAAATTACCGAAAAACCAGGTCCCAGTTCGGGATTGTTCTGTTGGGTACATTCAGGGCTACGCATTGGCAAAGAAAACGTAGATGCTGACTAAAATTTTAACAGTACCGTGGAATCTCCCTACATCACCTTTATAAGCTTACTTTAAAGATGCTTTTATATATAGTTTTTAAAGTAGAAACGTAGAAGCGGACTTATTCCGGTAGGGAGTCTAATAGGGGAATTTAAACTTTGTGTTTCATGAATTTTGTATAAACATGTTTCTTCAAATTTTAGATAGACTCCTTAATCATATTCTCGTTAACGAGTGGATATTGTTCGTTGAAGCCAGATTAGGTTAATTCATGAATTAAGGTACAAAATTGTTATCAATGATATTTCCTACGTTAGAAAAAGACATTTGGAAGGAGGGTCTCCGAAGGAACTTTTGTCAAGGGCTCAGATTTTGGGAATTGTTTCCTGGGTAGACTGCACTTCGTGCAAAATACGAACTGAAGTCTATAACCAGCTACAAATTAAATATTACTGTTCTGAAAGAGATTAGCTGGACTAAAGCCAATTCCATATTCTCTGAAAATAGTCTTACCCTGCACTGCTCGCGCGGCGTCCCACAGACGCCAGGGATGTTCTGTTATGATTTCTTTTTTAATTGTTTTATAAACGGATGTGCGTGCAAGCTTATGCTGCCGTCTACCTTTCTGTCAACTATACAGAAATAAGTAAAAATCATCGAAACAACGCTATTTTCATTTTAGTGCTGAGAGGAAGAGGTTTAATGCTGATGTGCACTACTTGAGTGTAGGAGACGTCACGCGACCATTTTTGATTCTAAAGGTTATCAGGTTCAGTGTTCCTTCTTACTTGCTTTGGGAACATTAAATGACCTGACTCGGAAGAGGGAGCTTACTAAAGCTATGTTCAATAAATGTGGGAAGTAGACAATACACACAAGAAGGGTATACGAAACCCTTTATTTTTCTCTCTTTACAATGATTTCCGGACTTCGGAATACAGAGACCAACCACTTGTGGTCTGAACGTAAGAATATAAAAATATTAACTAAACTCTAACTAAACTAACTTTGGATTAATAAACAAGTGCCTACTTGAAGATTGGCCGTATATCAACAGGAAGCCGTATGTAGCACAGAGAACTGTTAACACTACGATACGTTTAAAATTATCAAGAGGATTAAACCTCTGGCCTTGAAGGCAACCAGCAACCGAGTAAAACTGCTATGGCAAGCGGCCTGCTCCTAATTCCTCTCTCTTGCTTGGCAAAAAGCCACAACTTAAGTACTTGGCGTTCGCAAGACAAATTTGCATAAATAAGTTAAAGCTTTTAATTCTGGCCGGAAGTAGAAAATAAGAAGTGATAGTAAAGATTTAAAATAAAATAAACGTTAGTAAAAGTTAAGATCCTTACAAGGTAAGTATTTTAAAATTTATATATTCTAGTATTTTTAATTTATATTATCAACAGCTGTCCCTAGTAGTGTTTTTTTTTTTTTTTTTATTTTTTTATTTTATTTTAGCGATAGGTGAAAGAAATTGTTTGTGAATATATTTAATTTTTAATGTAAAAAGAATGTATTTATTTTGGTATTTATAATTTTTATGGTTAACATTTGTTTTTATTATTTATTTTCTGACCTTTAGATTCAAGATGACTTCTCAGAAAAAATTCAACATGGCATATGAACGTGACAGAGAAATAGTACTACGTATGCTGATGGAAGAATATGAATCAGGTGACGAGTTTGATGATTATAGTGATACAGAAGAAGATAGTGTGGAAACAAGAGACGAAAACACAGACATCGAGCAAGAAAAACTCCAATGATAGCGAGTAATGATTATATTGCCGATAATTATTTCCAAGGCAGGAATAAATCATCAAAATCAAAAGTTTGCCCACCTAAAAATAAAAAATATAGTCACTCAGCAACATAATAGTCAGATAGTCATATAATAGACAGTCACTCATTTACCAGGAGTGAAAGGTGTCGCGTAAAAAATGCTCAAAAGCCGGAGCAATGTTGGGCATAATTTTTTGACAATGGCATGCTATCTAATATAGTTCAAAAACGAAACGTTCACAAATGAAAAGATGCCCACGGTACAATAAAATTATTCTTGGAAAAGGGATGCCCATTTGACCGACATAATTGAAATAAAAGCCCTTCTAGGCGTATTAGACATTTGTGCTTCTATAAAGGACAATCATGCAAATACCAAGGAGATATGGTCCTCTGATAAAATGGGTGTTGAGTTATGCCATCTAATAATGTCTGAAAAACGATTTAGGTTCCTTTCATATTGTTTGAGGATCGACAATACCGATTTTTTGCTTCAAAATAATCTTACTTGAGAAACTTGGTTGGGACTATGAGAAAGAATAAGAGTGAAATTCCTCCAGAGTTTACACATACAAATAATCGGGAAGTAGGAACATCATTGTTTGGGTTTCAGAAAGACTCTAATCTCTTATGTAACTAAGGAAAATAAGGTGGTTCTGATTCTCTCCTCTATGCATCATAATGATGTAATTGATGAATCATGTGAAAAAAACAAGCCCAAATGATAACCTTTTATAACGCAACTAAATCAGGAGTTGATACTGTTGACCAGTTGTGCAGCACTTACGATGTCTCCAGGAAAACGAACAGATGCCCTATGGTCATATTTTATAGTATGATGAATGTAACAGCTATAAATGCTCAAATAATATATCGTGTAAATGACTTATTAATCAGCACCAGGCGCAGTGAGCTTTTAAATCTTTAGGGTAGCTTATGATTCCTTGCGTAGACGTTCTCAATGTTCATCATTACCTAGAAACCTCAAGCAGGATATTCAGAGCATTCTCCCAGATGAGGGTACAGTTCAACTTACAATAGAGGCTTGAAATACTAAAAGGCACAGATGTCATGAATGTGGCCGTTTCAAGAACAACTACACCAAGTACAAATACATTTTTATGTTTAGAAAATGCTCAGGAAATATGCGTTGATTGCTAGTTTGTGCAACTTACTAAATCAGACAATTTTACTTGTATTTTTCATTTGTATTTGAGTTAAGTTGAATAAAATTAAGTTTCACTGTAAACTGAAGTTTTGTTATTTGCGTTTGTAATAGGATACCACAAATATATGTATGTTATTTCAATAATCCCTTTGAATTTATAAATTTGAGTTGAATAACCGAAATATATATTAGTACAGCAAAAATATGCGCGTCCTTTAACGTAACAATATGCCACGCGAGCACTGCAGGGTTAACTTATTAACGTAATACTATAGCTGTTTATCTTGTTAGCTTTACAGTTATATTGAAGATAATTAGCTAATCTGAAGCGAATATTGTTATTTTAAAGAAAACGTATTCGTACTTCCTTCCTAAAGTTACCTTTTATGTTCTGAAGCTATCTACTATTGTAGAATTGAGTATATTGTTACGACCAGCTGCGGTAAGATAGCTTCTTCGTAAAGCGAGCTTAGGGTTTCCCGATTTGGCATGAAATCGCTCATTTGGTATGCCATAGACAGAACGAGAACATTCTAGAGCGAATTCTTATCGGTTTTTGCGAGAGCAGGTCAAAAACTATAGATATCCTGCCGAGAGTATCGAGAGTTGTTGAGTTCAGTAGTAGTGTCCTGAGCTCAGAGATTAACTCGAGAGCGATCGATTGAGTCGGGAGCTGTAATTTAGTGCTTTGCTATGAAACTGTCTTCACCGCTATAGCCTGATAGCCTGAAGTTTGTGTTGTTCAATATTTTCAGCGTGTTTGTCGTAGTTTTTCGACTACATTTAAAGCGTCTTTGGAACTGCCCTCTGTAATACTGACGTATAAATTGTCTTTTGATTCTTCATCAAGTGTTGTCATCAATCACTCCAAATCCACTAACTCGTGTTACGCAATAAATATTTTGATTTATTGATTATTACAACAATATTTTGACTTATTGATTATTACAACAATATTTTGACTTATTGAATGAGATTATTTTAATCTGTCTTTTTTTTTCAGGTAATATAAAATATTAAATTTTAAAGTGAAAAAAAAACATTTTTAAATGACGATTTATTTAAAAATAATTAACATACAAGAAAAGAATGAAGAGATCCAACACAATAATTAGTTCAAGAAACCAACTACTTTATCACTGCATATAGTTTCTTTGGTGCTTAGTCTATGTATAGTGTTGCATTGTTCTGATGAATGAGGTAGAAGTATAGGAAGTGTAGAAAGAGGTTGAAGTGCTTCGATGTGGAAGTCGTACTCAAACACTATATTTCCGTATTAAGTTACTACCCTTCTGCCTCTTTCACTACTGCAATGACTACGCTTAGATAATACAAAGCTAAGTTCTAAAGAAATTGCGCTTAACGATAACATACTTGTATTTTTTGTGCTCATTTTTGCGTCTAAGGTTTTCATTTACTACAATGTATAAGATATTTCAAGATATTTTTTCCCTCCTTACCGCATGCTTTGGTGCGATTTTTTAGCATCATCAGCTAGCAATCAGGATTTCTGATGTTAGAATTCCGGTGAGAGCATCGTGGATTTATAAAATTTCCTGACTTCGGAAAATTCTAAGAATACAAATTAAAATGCGTAATGTTATTTTTTCATGCGTCAACCTGATATTATATGGTTATTTTAACAATCATTCTAATTATTGATTCGAAGAGTCCTGTAATCTTCAGATTTTATATGAAGCGAAATAAATGCAGTAAAATTATATATTAAAATAAAAGAATCTTATTAGAATCAATCCTGATCCATCACCGTTATGCATTAATTGATTTTCATTCATACTTTCTTATATATACATATACACTATATACATAATACACATCTGGAATTCTAGTCGTCAATAAGCGTTCAGTATATACTCAAAAACGCAATAGCTACTTCAGTAAGATATGATGGATTTCATATTTCCCTTGAACGTCTTGACCTTTACATTACTTCAATATTTCCCACTGACCTGAATAAATGTACTTTTGGCGCAAAAACATCCCTACATTTTCTTTATCGCCTAATAGGTTGATGCTTAATACCATCATCTGTTCTGTTTGACCTCTTAACTCTTTTATCATTTATCAACTCTTAATACGTTAAGCCGAAGGATAACTCATATTATTACAGAAGGTATGATCTCTTAACGCCAGATACATACATTTTTTTCTGAAGACGTACTGTTAGGTATCATTTACAGTCTTATCTATTGATTCTGATCATTTGTAATATTGTACACGCACTGAGTACATTAAATAAAATGAAAACATATGTATTAACTATACAGACAGTACTATGCTGAATATATAAGAAGACATTTTAATCAAAATTCTTTCGTGTGTTCTAAAGAAATCTATGGGATAGCTTAGGTTTCTTAAATGTTATATTAAAAGAAAACATATTTGCTAAAAGTGCTGGTCTATACACTATTATTTAAATTTCTTTTTGAATACGTTTAATAATATTTTTAAAAAATTGACAGTTTGTATGCAAGCACGCCTTTTTCTCGCACAACATTTCAAATAATTAAGGTCAGTATTCCTAAAGTGGGGACCACTATTCTAAATTAAAATGTTTCATGGACACCTTAACCTTATTTCCCTTCGAAAACAGTTTTTAAAATATGTTATGTCCAGTACACTTGTATTTTTAAAATACGATTAATTAAAACTCATTTAATTTAATGGTATTAATTAACTATATTATTAGAAGAAAATTTATATTTATTCTTAATTAAAGTAAAATTTAAAATTCGTAATTAACTTGATAATATTTGCCTTCTTTGAAAATCTGGGAGAACCACTAGAGAAGGCTTTGAGAATTCCTTGTATGTCCGCGGATCACAGGTTCAGGAACGTTCATTAAAGTTATCTTATACATAAGGCCGTCATTTAGTAATTTAACGAAGTCTAGTATGGTATTTAAATAATGATCTCTTATATTTAACTTCATTTGCGTTAGCCCTTTTAACTTTCTTTTATTTTATAACTATTTCATTTTTTCATTAAGTATCTAAGAACAGACATGACAAGCAGGAACGGAAAGTATTGATATCTAAAAGGCAAATTATCATCAAATAAAATGAATAAAATATTTCTAAAATATTATTTTATATATCATAAAAAGAAGAGCTTACACAAAACATCAATTGATATCTTGGCTCGTAGGGGATGTGTCAAAGCTCTGTGAATGGCTTCGCATGTGTATGAAGCACCATTGTCATCCATAATAACATAGACTGTAATTGTGCTAAGTGTTGTATGTACTCTACCGTTTGTTGTTTCTTCTCTTGGGTGAAATGAACCTGAAAGGAAAAATAAAAGTTTAGAAGATAATATAAAAGTTATCAAGAAGAATAGGAAAATGAGAACTTGTAGAAAGAAAACAAAATAGGAATATATTTGAAATTATTATAATAGGTTCCAATTTTGGAAATGAGAATGTAAATAAAACAAGATATTTTCTTCTTTAAAGACTTATACCTTTTTCTGAACTTAAAAAGTGCATATTTAGTACGAATCGTGCTAAAGCTGTTTCAAATACCATTGATGAAAGTATGATGAAGCAAGTCGTTTGTACAGCTAACCGATTAAAAAATTCCCTGCACAATTAAGCTTGAAATTTCCGTGTTAATTTCAACGTATGAAATATTTTAACTACCAAATAACATAGCCATAACCCAGTAACACAGCAGCTATGATGCAAAATGCAACATAGTTAAAATTATTAAATACTGAAATTTTGCCAATTAGACGGAACTTTTATTTCATATTAAAATCAGAGACTCTAGTAAAGGGAGAAAGTATCCTAAATTATTTAAAAATAACAGACAAAACAGATGTTTTAATTTATTATGCTTTTCATTTGAATGCAAGTATGATGAAGAAACATAGCACTCAAAACGATTCGATCAGCCACTAAGACATAATCATAAAATCATAAAATGCGAATCTAGCAATCCTACAATTAAGTTACAGAATCATGTCCCATAATTAAGATTTACGTTTCAAATCAATGCTTGAGTAAATAGCAATAATCACTTTACCATAGAGTATCATAGGTAAAACAATTAACCATAAAGTCTCTCCATGGTTAATCTCTTTACCATACTACAGAGTGCCTCTGTGGTACTCTAAGGTACCACAGGTAAAACAATTAACTATAGAATCCCTTTATGGTTAATCGCTTTACCACAGAGTACCATGCACCAATAGCTTTACCATAGGGTACGTGTATCAGAAAGTCACTTTCTATTTTGAATAAAGGAAAATTTTTAATGAATTCAAAGTTTTTCTAAAAATTTATCGAAATTGCTGCAATTAGTACCCTGTACTGGTAAGAAAGATCAAAGTGTAACTACAAGATGCCAAATATTTTTGCCTTAAGGTATTGTACACAGGATATTTCCACAGTATTCTAAAAAAATATTACAGATGAATAAAAATTTCGGTACTTTTACGAATGTAATTAAACTGAAATATTAAAATATGGCGATATATCTTTATTCATTATTAGCACAATATATAAAGCAGTTTGAACTGGTGTTAATGAAGACATATGCGAAAGTGTAATGCGCAGAGAGCAAAGTAACTTCAAAAACCGATATAACTAGTAATAAATTTCTAATATAAATAAGGATAAAAAGCGATATAACCATTACGTATTATACATGCGGTATTTGACAATGATTTATTCAAAAATCATAATTGCTCAATAATATTACTGAGTGATGTCTCAGATTCCCATCTGCAACATCATTATACTGAATTATTTGTAGGTAATGAAACAGAAGACACAATATGTAACTTAATATTGAAAAGCATTTGAAAGAAGTTATCACGTGAATTGCAGCATATTGGAAAATGAATATTATAAACCCTTAGAAGGCGTGCTTGAAATGCATCAGAACTCAGTCAAGATCACTATACTCACAGCGCACTTTCCTATAAAAATCATTCAGACTTCTGCCCCCTTTTCAACGCATTCTGCAGACTCTTTCAACTTATTTTGTAATTATTTGTCTTGAAAATTATGCTTTCAGATTCTTGGTACCCCGTACGTGGCAATATTTCAGTTCGTTTAATCTATCGAAATGATAGCCATATTTGATTTAGCTCTCTGCTAGAGGAAGCAAGAAATTTAGAGTTAAATATACTTTAATTAGAGAGTAGAAAGAAGTGCAGAAATTTCTTTAAAGAAATAAATATAAGAGAGTTACTCATTCCAGTGTCTCTAAATGTGCTCACTGCTAGCAAAGTAAAAAAACTGTAGGTCAGAATACGTTACATTTTGATGAAAGATGTACTTCTTTATGATGTGTTTGAAATTCAGTAAAATCATACCAATATTTGTTAGTGACTGCATAGTTATATATATGTTGTTGTTCGAAATAACCAGACAATCGCAACTTAACGCATTCATCGTGAAAGGACAATACCTATGGGCCATTAACAATTTCATCACCGAGAAGGTTTTTTCAGGGTACACCACAGAAGACGACAGAATTACAGCTGTGAGAAAGGGAAAGCTCCGTCGCTGCTTTGATGAAGAATAACCAAAGGGTCTGATTTGAAGGTTCCTCATGCTTATTTGCCTATTACCAAACTTCAAGTCACGTTTGTATTTTAATTGCCCCCATGCCACATGGATATTATACACTCACAAATAATTAAGTTTGCTCCAAAATTTGCCAATTTGGGTTGTAAGACCATTGTTATGCATTGCACATGACACTGCAGTCTAAGAAATTTGCTCAACTTTTAGCAGTATTGTACATATTGAGAATCCATATGTATTCGCACCTACATATTATATAAGTGAACATTAGACAAAATTTGATTAAAATTGTTTTTCAGATAATGCTTTAAGATTTAAAAAATATTGAAAGCGTGCTAAGTTATTTATGTAAGCTTTACTGGAAATTAATATAACTCTTTTAGAATACAGCAGATTAAAACCAGATAACATTTTATTGTTATTACTATTAACAATTTAGTTCAAATACATTGAAACATTTCTGACAGCGTTTAATCCAGGTGAAGTTCACACCTAATAGTAATTTTCGTGTAGTAAACAAACATTACAAAAATAAAATTAATAATATAATACTAATAATAATCATTTCATATTTGAAGACGAACTGAATTAATTTTAAGCACGTAAGAGAAGTAAAAAAACCTCTTTTCGTTACTCCTATAAAAGAATTCTCACGAATATTTTTATTCAAACAAAAAAGCTGGAATTTATTTTAATATATTAACAAAATAATCGATGTGTTTGGTCTTAAGTTATTAAGTTAAAAACTGTTCGTTCAAACAAAAGATACATCATTTAGTGTTTAACACACATTTTTTTAAAAATTAAGACCGAATACCTTATTGTATAACACTTATTAAACTCTTCATTTATGTTTAAACATATTTAATCATACAACGCATTTATATTAATAAACGAAATTTTAGTTTATTCTCCAGAATAGAATAGTTTTTCTTTCGATCAGAGCAGAAAATAGATAAATTTAAAGGGGGGAAGTTACACATTATTCTTGGCCAAGCTTACGCAGTAAGTTAATACGCTAATTTCTAACGTATTAATTCTCACTAGTGTTTCGCAGAGTTAGGAATTTTAGTCATGGCATAGGTTTTTCAAGTACTTTTAATTTATCCTCTATTGTTGTGCATTATTTCATTACTATTCAAAAAAAGGATGGGATTTAAAACGGTTAGAAAATTTACAAGTCGCTAAATTTGACGCTGCTTAATGAATGTGTAAGGAATGATATTAGGGATAAATACAGGTAATAAATCATTTATAGAACTAAATCACTAAGGGATTAAATTACAGTATTCATTTTGCAAAATTTTCTTCGTTTCGTGATTTGTGTAAAAAATGTAAATTATTAGCCCAAAAAGGGCAATTTGCTGAGAAGGGTTCTTAATTTCGTTTTGGCATTTTGCGTCGTCCTCTATAAAGCGGCATTTCACTTTTCAAATGGTTGACACCAAATATTAGAGTCCTGCATTATATTTAAAGAAATTAAATAATGAAGAATCTGTATGAATGTATGTATGTTACTCGCACTGTCAAAAAACAACGGTACGCAGTGACATCAAATTTTGAACTCAAATATGGACATCTGGAAGCCCAAATGTGGAATTTATAATTTATTTTATTATCTTATTTCATATTTCATTTCTAAAGATATGCTCATTTTAAAATTATTACGCGATATTCCTGTTGAACTGAATTTTATGATTTTAATGCAAAGATGATATTTAATAAATAAAGGTAACGCACCAATCTGTACACTTCAGATTTTTAGCTCAGAAGAGCTATTAATTCCTTTTTGGCATTTTTTGTTGATTCACTTTTTAAATTTATACCACCAAATATTAGAGCCCTGTATTACTTTTAAAGAAATTAAATAATGAAGGATCTGCATAAATGTATGTATGTTTCTGGCAGTGTGATAAAACAACGGTACCAAGAGCCATCAGATTTTGAATAACGTAATATGCCACCGAATATTGGCATTTGGAAGCCCTGATTTGAAAACTGGTTTATTGTCGATTACATATTTTGACGAATTTTTGATTAACAAAGTCAACGATTTCAAAGCGAGCAATGGCAACACTGTAGAGAAAAAAAATATCTCCAGCATGCGAGACTGTATATCAGAAATTCTAAAGATATGCTGTTTTAAATTATTTTGTGATATTGCTGTTGAGTTTAATTTTATGGTTTAAGTGCGAAGAACATGATATTTAATAAATAAAAGTAACACACAAAACGATAAGAAATTCCCTTTGGGCGTAATATAAAATCCGGAAGCTTTAAGACTTATGTTTTTATTTTTAACAAGTAGCTGCAAGCGTGACAAAAATACGAATTTTATCTCGACCAAACATTATTTATTGTCTTACTTTGAACTTTATCAATGTATATATGATTTAGAGTTTGAAATAATTGTAATCATTGCACATACTAAATATTATTCTTTTCAGAATATTATTTACAAATAATAAAGAATAATTTTATAAAATGTGCAAGAAAATACCATTAATAGATTTCACGAAAATAGAAATTTAAAATGAAATGTTGAGAAACTGAAAATAGTAAATTATGAAAAGTATTAAATGTAACAATTTTACTGTTAGAGTATCTGGCACTAAGCAATAGTATTTTGCGTGTAAGAAAAGATGTACTGGAAAACATCCAAGTTATAAATTATTGCTCCTCTATCCAATTATTAACGGTAAAATAAACAGACATCAGTCACGAAATATTTGCGTGATTTCATGTTCT